AATAATAATAATAATAATAATAATAATAATAATAATAATAATAATAATAATAATAATAATAATAATAGCAATAAAAATAATAATAATAATAATAATAATAATCGATACTACGTAATAAAGTAAATTACATCATCAGAAATCTAGTATTTTATTGGCCGAAGGCTGAAAAAAGTAAAGATGCTTAATTTTGATCAGTATTATAAAAGATCAACAAAATTATAGCGATAGTGTTGGATTTTACATTCACGTGATTAAATAATTGCTAACATCCAAATCAAAAGTTTGAACACAAATTTTACTATGACAACTATCTTTTGACCTTTAAACAAAAATGTCCAGCACAAAATTTTACATAGCAATAATAAACGTAAGCTGGTACTTTATTCTGACAAGATTTCTTTCCGGAAAATATCATGTGCCCAAGCCACAAATGCCATCATGTGATGATTTCAGAATTTCTTGATTGGTTGCTGTGGGTGGCTCTGTTCAGCCATATGGTTTACGGCCTGTCTCAAATTAATAAACTGAAAAATTAAGCAAACTGAAATCAGCTTTCATAAACTGGAAGCTGGTGAGCTATTTCAGAAATATATGAAGAGTTTTTTTTAGATACATGTATTTGTAAAAGTGTGAAAAGGTTTAAAGTATGCACTGTATTTTAAAAATAAACCGGCACTATCGTTATTATATTACACTGATACTCATATGCAAATCATGATATTGTTTAACATAACTTTCCGGTTCTTTAATTCAAATTAGGAGATATCAATATGAGTACTTATCGTTTAGGTTTATCAGCCAAACAAACCAGTCTCATTTGAAAATTCAATTATAAAACTTAAAATTTTTCAAACTCTGGCTTTATTAGTTTGTTGTTTAAGATCTTTAAAATAATGGAGAATTATTTTATTTAAAATTGGTTATATTTATTTGATGTAGCTAGACTTGGTGCACCATACATCATTTTAAACCTTTATAATTCTAATAAAATCATTTTTACATTAAATTGTTTGGTGAGTATAGATGCACCACACATTTCGATAGCGAAAAAATGGGTAATTTCGATCCGACTATCTTAAAATCATGCACCAATCGAATCGCAGGATACATTTTATTATACACGGAAATTCATGCTTTGTGAACACGCCAGCTAACTGATGACATGACGGGGACGTCTGATGCTAAAAGTTATTGGCTAATCCTGCACTACTTACCAGGTCGTCTGACGTTAAAGGTTACTCGTCGATCACAACCTAACATGTCTTTTTTATTAATAATCTTATTATTTCAAAGCATCTTTGTCATGAATATTATTATTTAGTTATTAAGGCTATCTGATCTAGTGCATCTTTGCAATAGTAGAAAAGTGTCGGGTCACATCAGGAACATATTAAATGTGTTGTTCTACAAATACTACGAGTATAAAACGCACATTGATTATCACGCTAATTAAAAGTGTAAAAACAGCATAGCGATAACGATAAAGTCTGTAAAAGCAACACATTTAATGTGTTTTACATTTTCAAAAACTTCCTGATGTAAATATCAGCCTGAATACGCTAAGATAGAAATAAGATTATTAATAACAAAAGATATAATAAATGAATAGATGCATAGATAGATAGATATCGAAAGGTATTTATCTTTTCCTTTATTGGGCTAAAATTAAAAGCTTTCTATATCTATATGATCTTTAAAGGACTGATTTATTTGGTTCATTTGCTTATTCACTAATCATATGTTATTCTCTTTTCTCCCGTTTAACTAGGCTAATTTGTACCTTAACAGAACTGTCATATAAGAGGAATTCGAATTTTACTCTCTTTTTCATCTTATTTTCTAGTTTCCTTTTTTTAATGCCTTTAAGTTTCCATATGTCTATAAACAGTGTTGTCAATTTCTGCTTCCAGTGGGCTTTTTTTATAATAACTGGAAGCCCATTGGAAAGTTTACCATTGACAACACTGTCTATAAATACATCAAACTCATTCATTTTTGAACCACATTTAAAACGGAGTGTAAATAAACTTCACAAAGGCGGTCATTCATGCAAGAATAATTAAAGAATTATTGGTGCCACAATACAAACTGACGTCACGCGTATATTAATATGTAATATAACTTTTATAAAAGCCAAAAAGTTGTTCTAGCAAAACTTCGAATTTTTATGTTATAACGTAACGTCTTGAAATTGAAAAAAAAATCAAAGAAATGGGTTTAACAGCAGATTGCGAGCCTTCATTTGCAACATGTTGTAACTTTGTTGGGCTTCGAACAGGGTCACTCCTTATTTCACTAGTTTGGCTGGTAAGTTTCATAGTAAATCATCTTTATACACCTTAATTTCACTATTCAAATATATTTCGTCTCTACGTAATTAGTTGATCAGTTTTGGAGCGATGATTACATTCATTTTCCCATCAGAAGAAAATTGCAAGTTATCTAAATTTATTTTTTTTTCATTGACTTATTTCAAATAAATGTTAAACAAATCATTTATTCTCTTGATTAGTCTATACATATTTCAAGACATTCTCAATATTCAATATCGTGATGCTTGCATTGATAGTAATGGTTTCAGGATATGGTGTTGTTGTATATTTTATCGTAAGTGGAATAATTTATTACTGAATTTCTCTTATACCAATTTCGAGCTACTAGCTTGATATAAAGAAATCTCTTTAATAATAATATCATTATCATTAGAACACTTATAGCTACGTAAAACTCTACGTAATGCTCTCGTTCGTAGTAACAGCACTTAATATACTCTTTACAATAGGAAATTTAGCATTTATCGCCGCACACAAACAATACTATATTGACGAATGTGTTGAAAAATTATCACAGAAATCGTATACATATTACACCTATTATACCAGTTATTCTTCTGATTATTATAAAATCGCTTGTAGTAACGCGTATGTAAAAGTGTATTATCTTTTCATAGGTTTGGGAATCGTCTACATTTCGTTATCGGTGAGTTAAGATGTAAATTATTTTATTTGGTTCTTGAAATTCGTTGTTAACTATAAGTATCTTTTGAATTGGGTAATAGATTTATTTCTCGATGGTAATTGCTGCGTATGGACGAGCTAAACGCAAGGAAGAGCGTCCTGCAGAGCAGGCATTAGAAGAGGCGCAGCCGACATACGAATTGGCAATGTTACGGCAGACAGAGGCGCTGCCGACATACGAAGTGGTGTCGCAGCAGACGTTAGAAATGGAGAGTTTACAAGTAGACAAGATTACAGCAGACGTTAGAAGAGGCAATAGTCAGGGACATCAATGAGTTATCAACGATAACAAATTCAACTATTCTTATGTATACTGACTATTTGTATTTTATATTCATTATTTAATTTTATTTATAAAGTAACAAAGTAACATCTTTATTAATACCACACACTTTTTGTGAACGCAAGTTGATATTGTTTGGGAATTAGTTTTAGGATCGTAAACTTTTTGGTATAAATATAAGAAGCTTGATGAGTGTTGTAGAGCAATGGCATTACTGTGCCTAGAGACTCGATTCTTATGCGAAGAATGTCATTCCATACCTGCATCTTCGATAAGATTATGGTTTTACGATTTACTTATTTTATCTTGCTCAAATTCAACTTGCTTCGACAGAGTTGCATTTGCTGTGGAATCAGAAACAATATCAAATAATTCTTGCAAAAGGTCTTGTGCTTCTTTTTCCTTGCGTGTATTCCTTTGTTTTAGTAGCCTTAACTTTAGGATAATCATAGTTTGATGTGAGAACTCTGTTTCGAGTGAAACATCATGTTGTATTAACCGAGAATTTTACAGTCAGATCATACACCAGTAAAATCGTCAATGAACATGAAATTTGATGATCTTTAATAAACAAATTTTTGGCTCACTCCAGATATCTTTAGAATGTTTCAATGTACCAGTAAAATCACATTTTTTTTAACTTTCTGGGATATCCAAGAGTATCAATGAATGTGGAATTTAATGGTTTTCAAATATTGAACTACAGTGATCTTCCAGAATATTGTGAACAATTTTTAAAATACAATAATGCAAAAACCAATAAAAAAGCAAGATATATATATATATAAATATATAAAAAATAAAATTAGTATCAAACTAAAATTTATATAAAAAATATTATTTTACAAAGATACAAATAACTTTGCATCTAATAAATCAAATTAAATAAAATAAAATTTACAAATTTTTCAAGTTAAGACGCATCTAATGATATCAAAATCATTTAATTTGAATTACTAGATACAGAGATATCATGTCTCAAAGATAATATACAAAATTAGGATAAAATTTTTTGAAGAAAATAGTTTTTTGTAAATATTTCCACATCTAATTAACCAAATTAGATGATTTTAATATTATTAGGTTTGGCTTGTTTAAGTGAATCTAGTAATATCAAAATCATCCAATTTGATTTACTGAATGCAGAAATATTTGCAAAAATAGTTTTTTTTAAAAATTTTCTTTAAAATATTTTTTATTCCAATTTTTGTACAGTATTTTTGAGATATTATATCTCTGCATCTAGTAATCCAAATTATATAATTTTGATATTATTAGATATGTCTTGACTTGATAAATCTAAAGATATAAAATTATTTAATTTTGTTCACTGAATATGAAGATATTTGTATCTTTATAAAATAGAATATTCTTTTCATATAAATTTTCAGTTTGATACTAAATTTTATTTTTATATTTACAAAGAGTGAAAAAATATATTGGACACTTTTATTTTATTAATTACTTTAAAATATATATAATAAATTATTTTTAAATTTTTAAATATAATAATTTATAATTATATAAACAAAATAACAAAATTTTATATTTTTTTATTTATTGAAAAAATTAAAATCAAAATTTATTTATAAAACTGAAAAACATATTAAAAATATAATTTCAAAAGATTAAAATATTTAAAAACTTTAAAATTTAATTATTCATTAATTAGTAATTAAAATTAACTATTTTTTATATTTTTTAAATATATTTAATTTTATAAAATGAAAAAATTAATAAATTCTAATTGCTAGTTATTGAAATATTTAAATTTAAATTTTTTTTAAATAAATAAAAAATGCAGCAAATTAATTTTGTAAATAAATTTTGATTTTGATTTTTTTAATAATTAATAAATTAAAAAATATAAAATTTTGTTATTTTATTTATATAATTATAAACTATTATATTTAAAAATTTAAAAATAATTTATTATATATATTTTAAATTAATTAATAAAATAAAAGTGTTCAATATTTTTTTTCATTCCCTGTATATATATATTTTTTGAACTAGTTATTAAAATTACAAGTAATTTTAATATAATGTACAATATGTTTTAATATTTCTATTAGCTTAGAATTATAAATCTTGCTTTTTATTAATTTTTGCATTATTATATTTTAAAAAGTATTTACAATATTCTGAGAGATCACTATATTGTTATAATATAAATATTTAGTTATATTTTATTAGTAGATTCATATCATAAGTTAATTAAATAATAATTTAGTTAAGATTACTGAACAATAAATAAAGTAATATCATTGGATAAGATTTGAGCTATTAATAATTAGTTCACTAAACTGTATAAATAATTCAAGTAATTCAAGTAATAATAGCAAACCAAGTAATGACAATGACAAAAATATTAAAAATTATTTATGTAATAGCTAAATTAAATTTAATAAAATATTATAGCTTAGCTAGTAATTTAGATAGATTTCATAATTCTCAGAATCTCAAGAATAATAAATAACAATTAAAAACATATAATAAATTAATAATAAATTTATCTAATAATAAAATTACATATTTATTATATAAAATCTTTAATTAAACATTATTATTAAAAATTTAAATCTTATTCTAGCTGATTATATCATAAATATACTGTTATTTCTCTTTAAATTTATTATAATTATAGTTTAATACTTGATGCATTATATAAATTTGATTATATTATACGCTCCTACTCATAATTCTTAATAAATTTTACTATAATTATTCTAATTAAGTAACTTATTATAATATTATTAAGCACTCTTCAGCTCTTTCAAGAATTCATAAAATATAATAACAGTATAAACAAATTTATGATTCATTTCAGATATTTTTTTAGGATATTTTAATAACATGTTGAGAGAATAAATTTATTTCTCACTTTGAGTATTCTTTTTGATATTCTATTTATATTAATTTTATATTTATAATTTAAAATTAAAAATTCTAAGAGTACTCAAAATATTATTCATTTTGTTTATAATACAGTCAAATCTCTCTATAGTTACACCTATTTATAATTATACCTCTCTATAGTCACCCTATTTTGCTTTTTTATTTATATATAAACATAGTAAAAAAATTCCTCTATAATCACATTTTTTCTATAGTCATCAAATTTTGCTTTTTTGAGAGTGATGACTATAGAGGGATTTGATTGTATAATAATAACTTAAAAATTTTAATAATATTTTGTAAAATACACAAAATGAATTAAAATTATTATTAGAGTTTATTAATTTTTTGGTAGTATTTTTACATATTTCGAGTATTATTAAAATATAAATATAAAATATTATAAAAAAAATACACAAATTTTTTGTTTAGAATATTATAAAAATATCTTTTCTCAAAATATTATAAGTTTATATAAAAATTTTATTATAATTAACTTGAATACTTAAAGTATTAAAAAAATATAATTAATTTAATTTTATTAATAAATAATATAATATTTTTTAAAAAAGTATATTATATTTATTATTATTTTTTTAAATTAATAATATAATTATAATTAAATTCTTTTTTTAATTATTATTAGTACTGTTACCATTTTATATGAGTTTTTGAGAGAGCTGATAAGTGCTTAATAATGTTATAATAAGTTACTTGACCAGGATAATTATAGTAAAGTTTATTAAGAATGACGAGTAGGAGAGTATAATATAATCAAATCTATATAATACATCAAGCATTAAATTATGATTATAAATGAATCTAAAGGAAGGTAA